CTTTGTGCTGAGATATGTCCCTGGCACTTTTAAAATTTTATTTCTTGTTTTGAGACAAAATTTTATATTTTGTTTTGCGTTTCACTGAATTGCCCAGGCTAGGCTCAAATTTGCCATCTTCTTGCCTACATCATTGTTTAGGGTCTAATTTGTAAATTCCTTAATTAGCAGAAATAAATATTTAATGGATTTGGTTATTTTATTTATTTTCTTTTTTGTGGTATTGAGTATTATTGGTCTTTGTGCTGAGATATGTCCCTGGCACTTTTAAAATTTTATTTCTTGTTTTGAGACAAAATTTTATATTTTGTTTTGCGTTTCACTGAATTGCCCAGGCTAGGCTCAAATTTGCCATCTTCTTGCCTCAGCCTCCATAGTACTGGGATTACAGTTGTATGTGCTATCATGTCTAACTTAATGGCTTTATTTATAAGATACTATGAGTTAAAGGAAAATGCTTCTATTCATACAGAAAACAAAAGTGTAAGAATTGTAGTCTTTCCTTTCACTTGATGTTTTCACTATTTTAGATTGTATTTTTTCCCTTTCCAGAAAATTCACAGTAGATGGCATTTTTGATTATTTAGGGAATTATTTAATATGAGTAAAGAACTCGTCTCCTCAGTCTTAAATTTTTCTTTCCCTTAATTATACTTAGGAAAATCTAATTATTTATTTTATTTTCAAGATTGAAATCATCTTAGGGGAGTCAGGATCTTTAATGTGAATTGGTGTTTTACCTTAGTACTGAAATAACTTGTTTAAGAGATCATCACCTCTTAAAGTTAAAAAGGTATTGTTGTATTTTTATCAGTACTGTGCGGTAGACAGATACCTGTTAACCACTTATATAATATTAAATTTTAAGTAGGAACCACTTTAAAAAAATTTTAAAAATAGATGAAATTAATTTTAAAGATAGATATGTAATATATTTTCCTATACTAATGATTCTTCCTTGGACTGTTTTTTTCTGTGATGGTTACAGAATGGTGGCTTTTAAGGCTGGGTTATAGCTTAGTGGTAGACTACTTGACTAGCATGTTTAGGGCCCTGGGCTTGATCCCCAGCAGGAGGTATAGTGGGTGGGCAAGGTAGGAATGGGTTATTTTCCATTTCCAGCACTCCCTTTATAGAATGTTGGTAGCTGATAGCATGTGAATGAGAGCCCCCATTCTCCTCTGTTAATCCCTTCTAGTTCCTTCCATCTATCTAATCAACCATTTGCCTATTAGTAAGAATTTATAGATTTCAATTTTTTCTTGAATGATTATCATATATTTTACGTGCTCTTTTTTTTTAGTAAAAGAGAGCATGTTCTATATACTTCATTTTGCTTTTTTTCAGTTAACATGTGGAAATCACTCCACATCAGTTCGTGTAAACCTCCGTGTGCAGGGGGTTGGTTGTGGGGCAGCCAGGCAGGCAGCCAGGCAGGCAGACTGACTGTAGATTGAATCCTGAGGTGGATCTCCAGTCATTTTTTTTATTTTTTGAGACAAGGTTTTGCCAACTTGTCCAGGCGAGTCTTGAACTTGATAGCCCTCCTGCTTTAGCCTCCCAGGGGCTGGGATTACAGTCATGCATTTGTCCAGCTCCTCTTTTTTTTAAAATAGTGCGTGTTGCTCTGTAGTGTATATATGTGTATCATAGTTTATTCAACCAGTTTCTTACATTGGAATGTTTAGGATGTTTCCTGTATTTTGCAGTTATAAATAATGCTGCAGTGAATAACGTGTGCATGTTTTGGAGGTGTATCTTTAAGGTAAATTCTTAAAAGTGAAGTTGCTGCACTGAAATGTGAAGACATAGGTAGTTTTATTAGCTATTGCCAGACCCCTTCCATAATTAATGAACCATTTTGCCTTTTCACCAGCAACATATGAGAATACCTTTTCCTCCCATGGCTTTATCAAAATGTATTATCAAGCTTTAAAGTGTTTGCCAGTCTGATAGAAGTGGCATGTCAGTGTGGTTGGTTTTAATTAGGATTTTTTATCTTGTCATATTTATTAGTATATTCATTGCTAATAAATTTTGAGTCATAATTAGAAAGGCTTTTCCTACTTGGAGGTTATAGAGGAATTCACCCGTATTTTCCTTTAATTCAAGAGATGACTCATAAAAGACTATTACTTAAAAAAAGAATATTACTGGTAAGAAAATTCAACATATACTTTGTACTCATTAAGGAATCTTTCATCCATGACTTTCTTCTAGTATGACAAATGCTAATTAACCACTCAGATGTACCAGGCAATCTGTTTTAAAATTTTTTTCTATAAATAGACAACGAGAGATTACCATTCAGGTAGAGCTAGAATTTGTTAGTGACAAAATTGAGACTATAAATTTTGTTTGACTTTTTGATTTCCTGTTCTGTTTTTATTTAGTCCCTAAGACTAATCCATTTTTGTGATCTACCTTTTCTCTTTTCCTTTCCCTCCCTCCCTGTCTTCTTCTCTTTGTCCCTCTCTAGAATTATTGAACCCAAGACCTTTGCACTGTTACATCCCCTATTCTTTTTATTTATTTTAGGACAAAGTCTTGTTAAGTTTTCCAGGCTTGTTCTCAAACTTCAGTCCTCTTGCCTTAGCCTCCTCTGTAGCTCTGTTAAGTCTGTCATTTTGTTTAAGGTAGGTTTGTTTTGTTTTTTTTTTTCAGTATTTTTCTCAGAATCCAATCCATCAGTGTCATAAACATCTGTTCATTTTATTGTAAAACTGAAGTTATTTTGAATGAGAGGTTACAGACTGTAACATTTTTAGCCAGTTTTCCCTTTCCCAGATTAAGGAAATAGATCACAAGTACATCTCTGGGTGAAATGGGTACAGGAATAACAAACATTTCCTCAGGTACATTTCTGCTGTCAGAGATTTGTGTGAAAGGCATTCCTCGGTTAATGACATTACCTTTATCCAGAGGCTAAGAGACAGCAGGTTCCCCCTTTGCAACTGAAAAATTGAAAATAATACAGTAGTGAGTCATTTGCTCTCCTCCCACCCCTCCAGTGAATCCAGGTCCTTCTCCTCCCCCTGGTTGAACCCAGGGCCTTCGTACAAAGGTACATCCCTAGTCCTTTTTTATTTTTATTTTTGAGACAAGACATGTTGCTAAGTTACCACAGGCTGGGCTCAAACTTGAGCTCAAGTCTCAGCCTTCCCAGAGTACTCAGACTACATGCGTGTGGCCTATTGTGCATATTTTGAAAGCAAATTAATCAGGTGGGCAAGGAGGCCACACGCATGTAGTCTGAGAAAACATCTGGCTCTGGGTCTCATCTTTGAAAGTTTAGTTGGCTCTTCATTCCACATTTTTAAAAAAATTAGATACCTACTTAAAAAGAGAACCAGGGCCAAGGATTTAGCTCAGTGGTGCCGCCACGTGCCTTGCAAGCGCAAGGACCCAAGTTTGATCCCTGCTACAAAAAAAAAAAAAAAAAGAGAGAGAGAGAGCCAAATGTCACTAATAAATGTCCTAGCAGGTAATTTTTTTTTCCAATAATTAGATCCTGCGTTCTTCAGATATGAAGGAACACCCATTCTATGAGTAAAACTGGCAAATGTAGGAGAGAGGGTGCTGATACTACATTTCAGTATAAATTCATTACCATATTTTGAGTTGTTTCTCAAGTTGTAAGGATGGACTTCTGAGGACCAAGCCATTCTTTCACCCAATAATGAACTCTCATGATCTCTGGCCATAGTTATAGAAGGGTATAATTTGGGGCCAAAAAACAAGTCAAGCTACTTGTCTGTACAGAAATAAACCTGAAATAGTAAGAACTACCCACAATATCATTAACATCCTAGAACTGATTCCCTTCTACAATTAAACAATTCAAAGAAGAAATACAGTATTAAAATGCCAATGCCAAGTCTCTGCTCTCATGGCCTTAAGTCAAATATACCCAATACCAAACAACTTGTCTGACCAAATCTTTTTTTAAATACTGGAGACTGAACTCAGGGTCTTTGCCTTGAGCTACATCTCCAATGTTTTATAATGTTTTTACTTTGAGGCAGAAACTCACTAAATTGCTTAGCTACCCAGACTGGGCTCAAACTTGGGATCCTCCTGCCTCAGCCTGGCAGGGTGCTGGGATTAGAGGTATGCACTATCATACCTACCTTCTGAACAATACTTTTAAGATTGAGTATTCAAAAAGAAATTATGTAAAAGGAAATACATGTTTTTTTTGGACTTGAGAGTTAGTCTCGCTAGATTGCCTAGGCTAATCTCAAACTTGTGAGCTCAGGGAATCACCTCAGCCTCTGAGAAGTTGAGACTAGAGGGTGCTGTATACTGCCTGGTGATGTAAACATTTAATTAAAAAGAAACACAAGACTCAAAAATGCCAGGCATTTTGGGGGTCCAACAAATATACTAACAGTAAGAAATAAAATAAACTAGAAGAATTTAGAAAGGAAGCTGGAAAAGTTCATACAGAACACCTCACTTTTCAAATTGACAATTAAGTCAGAAAGCAATTAACTGAAAGTCACCATCCCAGTGACTATGAAAGACAGAAAAGAACCCAAGTGTCCTTCCTACTGATCTCCTCTCCAGTAACACAAGGAGTTTAAGGCTCAGCATCAACTCATTGTTCTCCTCACAAGGATGGGTGATGAGGTGATTCCCTGAGCTATTGTTGTTATTCATTACAATTCAAAGTATGACTTGCATAAAATGCTCCATTCTTGTGCCCCCAGGCAGCCTATATTTGCTCTACAAGAGGAACAACCTTTGGTTATTACTACTGCCAAAATTCTGTCTTCCTCCACAAAGTGGATTTAGGAGTCAGAGGTAGGGAGGGGAGTGTACTTGGGGGCTGGAGTGTATGTGTATGATCACAGAACATTGCCTGAACAACACAACTTTCCATATAGGCCTTGATTATGACAGATTTGTCCTGGTTTTGGGGATCATTGCCTTACTTTGTCTGCAAAACTCCCCTGGTGTTAATTTCTGATGATTGCTCTTCTCATGTAGACACATGAATGAGTGTAGGACTGAATCCCAAGAGGATTGTGGAACTCAAGGTAGGTGTGTGTGTGTGTGTGTGTGTGTGTGTGTGTGTGTGTGTTTGGGCGGTGGTGGGAGGGGGTTCAAGTATAGGGGTCTGAGTCTTGAGAGGGAATTGGAGCTCAAGTGAGTTGGTATTCTCATGTTCTGGTATGGAACTAAGCCCTATGAGGGTCATGGAGTCAGGTTACTCCACTACACAGGGCAACTGAGTTTAGTTTATGTGGATCTATTCCTGAAGGGTGAGTGATACTCATTGTGTAGACAGTGGAGCATATTCAAGACCTGTGATTTCATTTGGTGGAATGTATGGTGGTCACTTGATAATTTGGTGACTAGTGAAAATGCATGTTTTGAAGAAGAAATTATCAGAATTATTTTGTAATTAATTAGCCATCAAAATAAGTAACTCTAGAAAAGAACTATTGACATTGAACTTCTGGGGCTGCTTATTACTGTATACAAAATTAGACCTTCATTGCTTCATTTATATGAAGTGTAAGTCTCCTCTTACCCAGTACCCTGATGTGTGTGCAGTAAGAGGGGGCACTTCCCCTCTAGAAGGAGGTGGTGGCTTGCCTGGACACATTCCCCAGAACAAGTACCACAAGCCTTTAGAGCCCTGAGGGTTCTGTGATGGTGTTTTGTTATCCTTTCCCTGACCTGACCCACCTCTCTACCTGGAGTTCTTTCAGGATGTCCTTTTTCCCTCCTCTGTGCTAGCTAGGAGAATAGATGACTCTTGTTTAATCTTGCCTTTTTCACAAAGTATCCTGACATTTTGGATCTGATGGTCCCAGCTTTAGCAGCCACTCATCATTTACTGTTTGTACCACTTGCTGGACATAAAACTTACTGACTTCTATTATTGTTTTTTAGGAATGTGTACACATCTTGCTCCTGGTTTATCAGCTTAGAGCTTTTGAGGGAGCTCAGATGTCCCAAAAGATGGTGCAGGTGAATTAAGACTAAAGGGTTAATGAATTTTATGGCTCTATTTTAAAAGCATGCCTGAGACCTGCAGCACTTTAAAAATATAATTTTACTTTAAAAAAAATTTTTTTTTGAGATAGGGTCTTGCTATGCATTTCACTTTGGCCTTGAACTCTCTATGTAGCCCAGGTTGGCGTGGAACTTGTGGAGATCCTCCTGCTTCCTGAGTGCTGGGATTACAAGTGTGCGCCACCACACCTAGTTATTTTTACACATTTTTATCAGCATGAGTCACACCTTTGCTTTCTTGTTCACTTGCACACATTTTGTATCTGAATCCTGAAAAGTAGTATTTTATCAGCCTGGGTTATCTTCAGAAAGGATATTTCCATATGGCTGATCCATTCAGAAGTGTAATTACATAATTAACTTGGTAGCTTAACATGAAAAGTTCCTAGACTGATGAAATAACTAATTAGATAATATAAGTCTTAAAATATGAAATCAGACCTTGAATTGACTCTGAGATTATGTCACTTACTAGCAGTATAATCTTCACTATGGTTCCTTAATAATAAAGCAGGGATGTAAAATCATATAGGAATGTTGTAAGAATTAAATATGATAATGTACATTTGTCTATATAAAATATCTGGTATAATATTTGATTTTGAGAACATGCTAAATAAATGGTAACTGCTAGGCTTCTTCTAGTGAACAATAGGTTTTAAAATAAATATATATATTTTATGCATATATATCAAAATTTTATGTGTTAGGGACAAGAATTAAATTTGGGGACAGTTCTTCAAAATTTTTCTGAACAGGCTCAGGGATTTAGCTCTGTGGTGCTCAGTGATGCCAGCCTTGGAAGCACAAGGTCCTGAGTTCGATCAGTGGTACCCCCCAAAAAATTTATTCAGAAAAATCGTCAACATAATGGTTTGATGCACATACACAGTTGTTCCTTATTATCTGTAAGAGATTGGTTTCAAAACACTCCTCAGGTACCAAAACCATGGATATACAGGTCTCATAAAATGGCCCAAGATTTGCATATAACCTATACACATTCTCTCATATGCTTTATATAATCCTTAGATTAGTTATAATACCTAGTACAATGCAAATGCTGTTAAATAGTTATATCATTTAGGAAAAAATGACCACAAAAATGTATATATTCAGTACAGATACAACCCCCCCTTCCTTCCCAGTAATTTTTTCTGTGGGACATGATCCATTAATGTATGTGTATAAATACACGCACACATATATAGGCTATCAGTATGTATACATGTTCCTAGCTTCATCACTTACCATTCTACTACTGGCCCTGGTCTAAGCTGCCACCACCTCTTGTTGGGATTCACTCACTGACCTTGGTCATCAGCTTCTTTTCTGACTTTCCTTTAACTGGTGCATTTGCCAGAGTGATGGTTTTTAGGCATCTAGAAATCCTCTCACCAGTGCTTTGACTTGATTATCTCTCCTTCAGCTGTTAGACCCCTTGTGACCTGTAGGCCCCTCCTAATCTCAATGGCTTTGACTTCATTCTTTTCTCTTTCTAAGGTGTGTCCTCTTGCCTGCTGACCTTCCTGAAACAATCCCAGCTTGCTTCTTCCTTGAGGCAGAGGTCTTAGTATTAGCTGCTTTCTTGCTTGGTTGGTGCCTTCCTATCACTTATATTTCACTCAAGATGATTTTTACAGAAAGACTTCCCCAGACACCATGTTGTTACTTCTCCAGCTTTCTTGACTGTTACCGTTACATTTTTTTTTCCCTGACAAAAGAAATTTGGATTATATCAATTTTCTGGTAATGTTAAATGAAATGTCAGACACACAAGCTCAGGAATCACATGCTTTCTTTTATATGAGAAACACAAATGAAAAACAAAGTAGAAGAAGGGTAAATAGGAAGCAGAGAGAAGTTCAAATACTTCCCCAAACTATATGCTAATTGTTTTATTTATACTACGGTACTAGTTTATCTTAGTTTATTGAAAAGAAAGATTTGTATTATGATCTGTTTCATTTTTGTAAGAATCTTTTTGGTTTATATCCTATATTTTGAAGATAACAATATATCATTAATAATATTTATAATTTTTTTATGGAATTTTATTTTTTCACAAAATAAAAAAAAATCTGTATGATTAGCTGGCCACAGTTGGCACATGCCTTTAATTCCAGCTACTACTCAGGAGGCTGAGGCAGCAGGAGGATCAGGAGTTCAAGGCCAGACTAGGCAACCCTGTCTTAAAGGAAGCCAGTGTGCTCACACACACTTGTAATCCCAGCCCTCGGGAGGCTGAAGCAGGAGAATCACCACAAGTTCAAGGCCAGCCTAGGCTACGTAGTGAGTTTAAAGCCAGCTTGAACTACATAGCAAGACTCTGTCTCAAAAAAACCAAGATGATGATGATGATGATGATGATGACGACGACGACGACGACGACGACCACAATGATGTATGAAAAGAGCTGAGGATATAACTCAGCATTAGCATGCTTGCCTACCATGTGCGAGGCCTTGGCTTCAATCCCCAGCTCCACAAAAAGGAAAAGAAAAAGAAAAGGATAATAAAGGAAAGGAAAGAACAAACCTTCAAGAATCTTAATATTTTCTAAATTGTTTATGTCATAAAGTACAAACTCCTACTTGGGCTTTTCTTTCTTGATCTTATGCTCTCATTTGAACATTTATGCTTTATATAAATTATTTAGAGTTCCTTCTCTTTGAGACGCTAAATTTCTAGTGATTGGTCACTTAAACAACATAAACCTAAATAAATAAAATGTTATAAATGCCAAATGCTGATTGTGTGTTATTTTTTAATCTCTATCAGTATTTTTTTATGCCTTTACAGAGTTCAGATGGGGTGGACTTGAGATTTTGATTTGTGTTTTCATATACTGTGGTCCCAAGTTGAGTGTGTAAGCCATACATACTCACACTCTTGTAAGGTGCTACTGAGGAAAACCCATCAAGTGATCAAGGCATGAATTCCTGATAAATTCCACCATTCTTTTAGCCCAGAACTGTCTTCTGTCATAGATTGGTGCATAGCCTTTGTAATTCAGATGAGTGTTTCTTACCCTTCCACTTTACTTCCTATCAAGTCTGCCCTTGGCTAAGCCAGGACTAGTGAGCCTAGTGGCTCCCGAAAACAGGGGGCTCAGCACCTCCTGTTTGTGCAGATTAGCCAAAAATACGAGGAAGGCTTTTTAGTAATTTAAAACAATATCGTTCATTTACAAGTGATTATTCTTCAGCTATGAAGAAGCACTGTTGGCATTTCCTGAGAAACTCCAGATGGGTATGCTCCCTGTTTTGGGGGGTGGGGTAGGGGGAGTACAGGGGTGGAACTTGGGACCTTGTGCTTGCAAGGCAGGTGGTAGAATCATTGAGCTAAATCCCTGGCCCTGTGCTCCCTTTTATTACTGTAATTTATGACTTTACTTTAAGGACTTTACAAACTTTAACCACTCCATTATAATTCAGGGATTGTCTGTATTGACAAATCTGATGAATTTATCATTTGTAATGATTAAGTAGTACTTTCCTGTGTTGCTGTGCCATTATTTGTTTAAACATTCAATTTCAAGTGAGATTAATAGGATTAACAACTTGAATAATTTAAAATTTTTGTTGTATGTTTCCAGATTTCTTTTGAAAAGATTGGCAAAATGAACAGCTTTTTCTTTTCTTATGAGTTCTGGAGTCTAGAAGTTTTTTTTTTTTTTTCAGCTTTAATTGAGTTTATTGGTACATTTTAGGGATACAGTACAGTTACATTCATTGTTGGGATCTTGTACCTCTACATGACAAGTCTTTGTTCTCATTTTTCCCCTTACCCCTGCTCTCCCTTCACCCCCTCCTCTTCTCCCCATCTACAACCACTTTATTTCCATCTTTTCATTATCTCACATTTTTTCTTTTGCCTTATTACCCTTCCCCTACCTATCCCACCTTCCCTACACCTTTAGTCCCTTTCTTCCCATTTCACAGTATCAGTAGTCTTATAATACATAAGATCCTAATAAAAGCATAGATTCTTAAAAGAAGCTTTCTTCTCATTTCCCACTTTGCTGTAATCTCCCTTTTGCATCTTTAAATCTGTCTCCTACCAGTTTCTTAGTAGGCTGATTGCAGTGGAAGGCAGCAGTTCGCTCCCTTACTTCCTGGTTCTGTTCAGCCAGCCAGCTGGAAGCAGTGGCAGGAGAAGGGAAGAAGAGGAGAACAATGAACGAGAGACATTTATTCCTGTGATTTCCTCACTGAGAGTGTTATGTGGCAAAAGCCAGACACATTCCTCTTCTGAAACACCACAACACCCGCCTGCTGGACTCTCACCTATGCTGACACCCTTTGTAGGATTCCAGTAAGTGTGACTTGTCCTTGTATAGTCAGATCTAATTGAGTCTTATGATTAATTAAGGGATAAAATAGTACTGTTTATCATCATCTTAGTTTTTATTTCTTCATTTTTATGTTGACAGTTAAATTAATATACATTAGTCATTTAGATTGACCAATACTGTTTCTTTAATTCTGAGAGAACTGTAAATTTTTATGAGTGGTATTTATGTCCTCCCTGTCCTTTTAAATTTTTATATTAGTGAAAAAAATGCCCTTCTACTTTAATCACTTATTCTGTTAATAGTCAATTTAGCTTCATTTTAAAGTTAAAATAAATTCATAAACTTATTTATTTTTAAATTTCATTCTAATTCAAGTAATAAAAGATAAAAGTTTCTCATTTTAAAATATTCTTTGGTATTTATGTTTACTTAATTTTTCTGTTAGGTTTTATTACTTTTTATTCCTAGTAGGACTACAGAGAATAGTTTCTAGGTGATAGAAAAAATTTCAGGCACCAAATAAGGATCATTCAGCTAGAAGTCTTAGCTGGGATTGCACTTCTGCGAAGTGTGGCTGGCTGTTTCTATCACTCCAGCCTCCTGACTCCAATAGGTTGTGCTGCAGTTTTCCCTTCCCTACTTCCGTAAAGCTCTTTGCACCAAAAATTTTTTATCATACTTCAGGCCTATATGTTAGTTGGGCACACACTGTTTTTCGGTATTTTAAAATTGTAACGTTCATGTTGAATTTATCAAAGTATATTCAAATTTAATATGAATTCTTGTGGTGAAATTCAGGAACCTTATAACAGTCTAGTTCCACTCATGCCCCAATCATTGTGCTGTTTTCCTGTCTCAGTCTCTTGGGTGAGATTCAGACTGTTGAGCAGAGCAGTGTCAGGAGCAGCCATCACTATTAACAGTATATACAAGTTCACCCTCTGATTTTTTGACTAGAGTAGTTTGTTTGTTTGTTTTTGGTACCGGGGATTGAACTTGGGTCCTTGGCACTTGTGAAGCAGGCCACCGAACCGCTGAGCTAAATCCCCGGCCCTGACTAGAGTAGTTAACTGTAGTTTTTACAAGAAATTTAAAAGTTTATGTGCAGCATGTGCTTTATAGTTTAAGAATAGTAATGTGCTTCTCCTTTTAATTGCAAGAAGAACCTGGGGTTCCTGGAAGAGGATGTTGAAAGTCTGTTTAATCAGCGTGCCAGATTGTCTGTTTTCATGAGTTTTTTTTTTTTCTTAATTAGAGGGTTAGTATTATGTTTCACTGAAGTAACAATGAAACCCTAACTTACACCTTGCTCTTCAAATCACTTAGCATTTTAAGTATTTCCCTCTTTTGTAGGGACAAGAAAATTATTTTCTTTTAAAAATTAATGTTTTCACTATGAAAGAAAGGCCTGAACTACTAGAAATGTAAGGAGTTAAAATCTAGTTTTCTTTCCACCAAGGAACATGTGTGGATGTCTTTGGCATATGAAGAACCAGCTGTTTGATCAATTCCACATTTATGGATCTTTTTCCTTCTAATACAAAGTATATAGTCCTATCTAAAGAGTGTATGGTATCAGCTTCCTTATTTTAGAGGTTGATGTATTTGTAGACGAGTCTTTTTTTTTACTCTACCTAGTTCTTGTAATAGCTTAAAATATTTTCCAATTACCAACATAAAATGCTTAGTTGCCTTATGTTTTTGCCTCAAGTTTTCAAACTCTAGCTTTGAAAATTTCTAGTATTTGAAAGACTAGTTTGAGATTACTTTTATTGGTGTCTACACAGAAGGGCTCATAACGTCATTAAAATAGCTCTGTTTCATAACTGTCCTATGTCTAAAAATACTCAGCTGAGTGGCATCAGCACTTGCCTATGTATGTGCATGAAGTCACACTCTCAGCGTTATTTGTTCTTACTCTGACCACAGACTGTTCTAGATCACTTCCAAACTGATCCTTCATAGACAATACAAAGTTTGTTCCAAACTCTGATGCTGTTACAATTATTAATAGCATAGTAATTGCTCCTCCTGTCTGTTTGAACAGCCAACACTAAAGAGTTTTCATAATTGTGTTTATACTTCCTTGAGGTCTTTGGTGCCTAGGGTAATAAAGTGTCTTATCTGTACTAAAGCTGTGTACAAAAACTGTTGTATTGTGAATCTGACTTGACAGTCTCTATGTTAGGGCCAAGAAGGATGTCTGGTTATATATTGTTTGAGATTAATATTCCTTTACTTGCCTGCTCTATCACCTGAAAAATCATAGAATCACCTCCTGCTTTTTACATTTACAGGTTACAGATAACTTACAAAGCCTGAAATAGGCAGAAAATTGCTGTAAGTTCTGAATGCGGAGATTCAGAGGTAACTTTATTGGCAGTGTTAACATATGGTGGACTGAGTAAAGAGCAGTTAATACTTGTGTATGCATCACTGTTAAATAGTTGAAAGTTAAGGCACATATTGTTTATCCACTTAGCATATCAGCTAGATTTTTAATCTAGTGTTACTTCAATATCTATATCCATAGGAATTAAAGATCATCACATGTGTTTTGTTTTTATTGTCAGTATACACAATTGCTGTTTGCAACATCTTGATTTTATAAATGGATATTCAACTTAGGAAATATCGTATTAAGATTTAGCTTAAGAGATGCACAGGCAGAATTTATCTCAAGGGTGAATCAAAAACAATTATGACTTCCTTATCATAACTTCACTGTTAAAAATAAGTAGAAATGCCAGATGTGGTAACGTATGCCTATAATCCCAGCACTTGGGGGGCTGAGACAGGAGGATCGCTGCCAGTTCAAGGGCAACCTGGGCTATATAATGAGACCCTGTGTCAAAAAAAAAAGTAGAACTAGATTTTATATTAAATATAGAAGAAATGAATCCTATTGTCAGGTAATTTGATAAAGCAAATGCACAGTAAGTAAAACATCTAATAAATACAGATAATTTCTCTTTTTTTTTCAGATAATCCCTCTTTTAATGACCTCCCTGTTTAATGATTGTTCAGACTTACAACCTGCTACTCAGACTTAAAGTCCATCTTTTTTTTTTTATAGTTTTTTTTAGGGGGGTACCAGGGATTGAACTCATGAGCTTGTGCTCGTGAGGCAGACGTGGTACCACTGAGCTAAATCCCCAGCCCTGTACATTTTATAAGTCTTGTTTACAATCAGCAAAAACTACAGTACTGTACAAACAAGGTACACAGTGCTATAATTTTATATTCTGTTGTACATTATAGTACTGCAGTGGAGTTACACAAAAAAGGCAGAGTCATCAAGTTGGAGTTTCCTTTGAACAGTTCTGTGTATATAATACAGTTTATACAATTCCTTCTAACTTCATTTCTGGAAATCCTATCAGATATATGTTTCTTCTCAATCTATCTGTTAGGTTACTTCTCCATGTGTGCTTTTTTTCTTTCTGTACTCTGAGTGGTTTTTAGTTACTAATTTTCTCTTTGACTGTGGTGGTGTTGAGTTTCTCCAGTCTACTGAGCTTTTAGTCAGTATTTCTCATTTTCAAGATTTCAAATAGGTGTTTGTTTTCAAATACACTTCTTGATTCAGTATCTGCCTGATTTTGTTTCCAGAAGAATTCTTTAAAAATTTTTCTTTCACATCTCTACAGGTTTTAAATACAACATAGATTTAATTTTCTTAGGACTAAAGAGTCTTCTGGTTTTTTGTCAGTCTTGAAGTTAATTTCTCTCATGAACTCTGGGCTTTGAATTTAGACCAAAATCTGTTGTAAGTGGGAATTTTTATTCCTCTTTGTGCCCTTGGTTTTGCTGTTTTTTAGCTTGTCTTCACCGACCTCAGAAATAAGCCTTATGTTGGAGATTCAAGCTCCTGCCCTTCTTAATACTGAGGTTGAGGCAGATACTTCCACTGTCTGTGTTCCCCCTGCTGCACTAGGTATGTGGCGCTATCTCAGCCATGGCTCTGGGTGGCAGTCACAGAAGACTTAATTTTTTTCCCTCACAAATGGTGGTTTAGAGCTGTGAACCCATTTACCTCTACTCTGTCATATTCAGCATCTAGTGTGTGCTGCTAGTTCTACTCCCCAACTTCAATTTCTGAATTATAGAACTGTGGCTTCAGCCTGTTTGGCAGTCTCTGATGTTATTCCATTCATTCATTTATCTTGTTTGTAAACATGACTTTCTTCCTCCTTAAAACTAGTTTATTTCTCATTGCTATTGTTTGGAGAGAATGATATTTAAAACCTGAATTACAAAGGCATCATGCCCAGAAATTTTTTGTGTTCATGTTGTTATCTTTACTAAATAATCTTCAAGATCCTTTCCAACTCCACATACTAACTTTCTAGGTGCTCCAGACAGTGTAAGAAGTTACCCATGGAATCTGATGTTTGGTATATGATTACAAACTGAGACACTTTCCTTTCCTGATGGATATAGCCAAACCAGCTCATAAGTCACTAATCTCAAAAATGCCCAGTGGATTGTGGGCTCTACAGAAGCTTGTCTAGTTTGATTTGCTTTCCCAATTATTATTTTCCAAGCTGGATTTGGCTTTTAGAGGGGGAAATAACCCTGTTGAATAATGCATTGGTTTTATTGACCCAGTGATCATATCTGTGAGTATGGAGCTGACTACCACCTCTTTTTCTCCCCCTGCATTTTTTTTTTTCCTCCAGCATGACTTCAGAAAGCTACATGTGTCTGAAGCAGCTTCTAAGGAACTGAGCCCTCCTCATTTCCTTGCTAGGAAGGTGTAGTGGTTGTTTAATGATGAGACTCTTTGAGCATGACCCAAAAGGGCTCAAGAAGGAAAGGAAAGAGGTCATTTTCAGTCAGTCTAGAATTTACTTTTTTACAAGCTTCTAAAGTCTCTTCATGGATGATCGCTGGAGTTGTTTGTTTCTGTTTTATGAATAATGTTATATGAAGAACTTTCAGAATTGCAGTTAACATTTTTTGAAAAATAAATAAGTTCACAAGGAAGCAGCCATATGGTATTTGTTTAGAATTCTAGGTGCAGAATTAGTTCAAAAAATAGACCTAAAAATGCTGAAGCCAAATCAAAAACCTCCTCCACCCTTATAAAAATAATTGATTAATTTTTTAAAAAATTAGATTTAAGCATTTTAAACCTTTATAGACAGTATACTAAATTTGACAAGTGGAAATTCTGAGGAAATATAAATTTGATTCTAGTCAGATGGTTCTCTGAGGTCCTCTTATTGTTAGTCTTCTCAGTAAAAGAAAGAATTCCATGTGGCTACTGTATTTAGAGAAGTACATGTTGAAGAGGAGCAGAAATGAGGACCTCTCATTAGGGAGGAAGGACAGTGATGGGAAGAAAGGAATAAGAGGGAGCAACAGTGGCCTGAGAAGTGCTTGGCCAGTGGCTCCAACACACACAGGCACCACCTTTTTAAAACACGTCAGTGATGAATTACATGTGGAGGTTTAAACCGTCCATGAATTTTCATTTCCTTGATTCTGTTGTCCCTTGGTTGGTTTGTCTGTAAAATAAAAGAGGGCCAGGGATTTAGCTCAGTGGTTCTGGTGACTGCCTTGCAAGCACAGGACCTGAGTTTGATTCCTGGTACCAAAAAACGAACAAATAAAATTAAAAAAACAAAACAAAATAATTTCTACATAGTGTGGAGCCATGTAGTACCCTGGTGACCCTGGTTGGGCCTGGTCCAGGTGATCTCATCCTGCCCTAGGGCTAGACTGGACTTCGCACTATAGCAGCAGATAAATCTGTGTACTTTTTAGCTTTAGTTTCCTGGTCCAGAATGATTGTCTATAAAATGCTTTAATTTTTAAAATTAGAAATAGGATCATTAATTCTAAAATGATTTATAACGATTTCTTCACTTTAACTGCTTGACTTGGTGTAATGTTCTTAGCTCTTTGATTGTGTCAGGCCTTCTAGCTCATGTATAAGGTATATTGGTACTCCATTCCTAGTAGTGTTTGATGGCATTTGTAAATGAGGCTATTGAGCTCAGATGGTGAGCACTCTTCTGGAGCATCAGCTGTGTCTCCCTAGTTAATTTCTTTCAATTTCCTGAACACAGAGTCTTGGTCTCAAAAGAAAGGGATCATCATATGTAACATCCCTGTTACCAAAATAACTTTTGGGTGTACAGTTTGGAGATGGAATGTATATCAATCCCTCCCTTTCTTTCCCTCCTTTACAATTTTATAATTACTTACGGTGGGACAAGCAAGAAGTTAAAATTTTTGATGATTTTATTCTCACAGTATTTTTATATTATTAAATTCTGCATTCAGAATAGTACAAAGAAGCCTTATCACATAGTTCTAGGTCTTTGTGAGACTAATCTTGCAAAACAAAAAAGTGCCATGATATTGTTTTGTTTGTTTTGAAGGTGCTTAGTGGAATTATTTTATAGTTCCAAAAGGCCATTGTAGAATATACAGTACCAAGTTGCAAGAGCTGTCTCCTTTATATCTTATTAGAATCATTTTAAAATACATAGGTTTTTATGTAAAGACCACAATTTTAACCTCAGGAAAGCCTTTATTTTGTGTAGCTCTTATTTTTGTTATAAAGGATTATAATGATTGCCATTTTACAAGGTGGGGGGAAAAACAGCATCAAGAGGCCTTGAGTCAGTCTAGTGTAGAGAAAGGCAGGGTGGGAACAGGAGAAAAGTATCCATCTAGGTGAACAACTTTGTTTTATCATTTATCCTGACATTTCCCCTTGAGCCTTTGAAAGGTAGGAGCTGATTGAGTGTCAAGTATAATTTTTTACAACAAGACACTGAACAGTTGATGCTATTATTGGGTTTTAGAATATCTATAACCCTGTATTTCTGTTTATATAGAGTATTTCTGGAAAGGGATATGTAAAAAACTGGGAACAGTGGTTGCCACTGGGAAGGAACAGGGAGTCAAAAAAGATGGTGAGAGGCAGCTTTGCTTCTTTGCATCCTTCTCTACCTTCCTGTTTTGTACCATGTACAGGAGAGATGTATTCAAATGATAAATTAAAAATAAAAAATACATAAATTGCAAAGTAGATTTGTTTTGATATAAGGAAGTCTGTTCATATTTTTCATTTGTTTTGCTTAGGTATTAGGGAGTGTTACTATAAATTGCATGTGGAAGATACTCTTAAATATTCATCAGAGAATGGACTCAAGTGGAATATGAGCACAGAAAATGCAAATTAGCAAGGGCAGCCTCTCTGGTTTGTTATGGCGAACTGTGTATTTTTTTTGTTTTGTTTTGTTTTGTTTGGTACCGGGATTGAACTCGGGTTCTTGTGCTTGCAAGGCAGGCCACTGAACCGCTGAGCTAAATCCCCGGCCCAAACTGTGTATTTTTGAAGTCAGGGAGGTAGCTCTGACTGTAGGAAATTTACTTGAATTCTCCAGATCTCAGCTTTCTCTTCTACAAATGGGACAGTGCAGTGGTTATCTATGGGCTTTGACATCCAGCATCCACTCACACTTTTTGCTGGTCCTATCCTTCTTTCCTTCCTAGGAATCCAGTCCAGCTCAGGATTGCTGGTAGCCTAGGCTTTATTTGTCCTTGGCAGCAGTGAAATGAGACCATGACAGAGCAATGAGATGCAGAGAGACTTTGGATATTATATCAAGAAAATATATTCTTGTTCTTTTCACTGGATTTTAATGAGAATAGAAAGTGAGGTTTGAATTGCAGTCATCCATATTCTAGCTATAAGAACCAAAGAAAAAGCCAATGTAGAAGAGAGTGTGGAGTCACATAGTATCGTGGTGACTGTCATTGGGCCTGGTCCACGTGAATGTCATCCTGCCCCTGGGCTAGACTGGACTTCTGTTGTAGCAGCAGTTAAGGGCTCTTTTTAGCTTTAGTTTCCTGATATGTGTCAAAAATCAAAATCTCAGTTGATAGAGATAATAGTGTTTAATTTTTAGGATTAGATAACTAAATAAATGGAGCACATTGCCTAGCACATAGAAAACACAGCAGCAATTTTTAGAATATTAGTCAAAAGTCTACCACACATTTTATTAGTAAAACTTATTTTGAAGTGGAGTGGAGACTGCAAGAGAGGGTGTATACCAAAGCATTTAGTTCCTTACTTGACAAAAGTATACTTTATTTCTGTTCAAGGAACCATATTCAAAAGTTCTTTGGTATATGACGGCCAACAACTTTTTTAGAGTAGAGGCCATTTGAGAGTAGGTTTGAGTCCCTTACCATTTTTCTAAGTCAGTAAAAATAGAATTCCATTTTATCAGCTATTTAAAAAAGAAAGCCATTGGTGACTTGAAAAAAACAGAACAGCAGCTCAACAGTAGCAAAACAAGCAAGAATTTTAGAACCTCAGATGGCAGTAGGGTGCATGATATTTTGACTAACGTTCCTACTTTTCCAGGGTCTCCAAAGCAGAAAAATAAGAACAAGCAACTATAGAGATAGAAATGGATTTTTTTTTTTTTTTGGTACCAGGAATTGAACTCAGGACCTTGTGCTTCTGAGGCAGGCGGCAGAACCACTGAGCTAAATTCCCAGCCCCTAGAAATGGATTTTTTTAAAAATTGCTAAGCTGATAACATTGAATCACAGGACTCATTTGATTATATAATAGCAGAAGCATTAGTATTGATTTTCTGACATCTCAGCACTTTCCTAAAAGTGCAGTGTGGGATATCTTTAAAAGATTAAATTGGATTAAAAATCAATTTTTATTTTAAGAATTTGGGTAATGTTAGATAATTGTGAGGGCCCTAGAGTGCTTCAGTAATGGATGAGAATCATTGTTCTTAGAAATAGAAATTAATTCTTAAATAAGAATTTTATAGCTAAACTTATTTTAAAAATATTTCTGTT